GTGTTGCGGAAATCATTCCAATGGTTATAAGAAAATAATGATAGGAAAATGGAAAAATTATTGAAAATTGGTGAAGAGTAACAGCCCGAGATATTGATACCAATATGGAATATTGAAGAAATTATTAATAAAATTATCAATTTATCAAGATTGTTTCCACTGGGATTGACTCTTGCATAATGTATTGGGACCCTTGGACTGGGAAACGAATCCATTGTATCACGAATGCCCACAGCAAAAAAAATGTGGGGTCTTACCAGCAAATCGAAATCACAGCTGCCACTTTCGATTACTCATTACAATTATTGATCACCGGAGGGAGAGATGGATCTTTAAAAATTTGGAGCTTCAATTCAGGATCTTGTGTCAAAAACATGTCCATGGAGGATCAACGGTGAATTTACTTTTATTTATTTATATACAATACACCATAATTAGTCAATTAACATCAATTAAAGATCAATTAAAGGACAACGTAATCGAAATAACAAATTGTTGTTGATTAAATGGTAATAATTAGTGATTATTCTTCCACGAAGTGCTATAACTGGAATAATTTGGCTGAAAAATCGGATATTATGTACTGGATGGAACGGCTACGTCGTAGAGTTCGCTGACACCGAGACTGGAATATACCGGAAATCCTGGGAAAAAAGGCATACAGAGGAAATTCTATGTGCTGCTGCAAGAATTCCTCAGGTTCTGGCTACAGCTTCTTATAATGGGGAATTGATATTGTGGAGAATGGAAACAGGACAGCCTTATAGACGTTATCAAGTAGAAAATCCCACAGAAAGGTAAAACAAAAACTGGAAAAACTAAATGTTTCCTATTACTGATAAGAGAAATGTTTCAATTTATTTACTGCTTATAATTATTTTAGGTTCGCAGGGATAAATTCCAGCAATAGTTTAAACTTTTATAGTGTAAACCCTTACCACGGACTCAATGACAAAGGATATTGCTTTTTATTGTTTTCGGTTAAAAGAGCTAATTTCCGGCTTAGCCGTGGAAAACAGATTATCAAATTAGTATTTTTCCATATACTTGCCAATCAATCTTGCATGTGGAGAAGAATGATCTATTTTCCAGAAAAGGCCAAAAGGGTTTCTGTTAGGCCAGAAAATAACACATTTCTGGCGATTGTCTTTGCTTTCCTCAGCTTCGCCCCAAACTTTAAATTTATAATCACTAGAAAAGTTCCTGGTGAGGGCCTAGAGACGAAATATACTATTTCAAAGTTCTTAAAAATTTGATGGATTTCTGTCGTCAATATTTTTGGGTCTTTAAACTATTATGTACGAAAAATAATGATTTTCTGTTGTAATAATCCTCTTAAATTTTTTCACTCTGAGGTACAATATTGTTTATAAAACAAGAAGATGGGGGATGACGGAGGATTCCGAGAAATTCGCAGATTCAGACGAAAAAACTTACAAGAATAATGAGCAGGAAGGAAGAGAAACATCAGCCCTTGCAGTTATAAAAACAGTTTTAGT